GTTTTCGAATCCTCGCTGTGTGGTGCGTGGATCCCAGCGTACGCCACGCTTCGGATATCCCTGCGCGGACGCTTGGATACCCGAGGTGGGCACCCTCCCGCGGGGCCCTGGACCCCTGCGGGTTTTGACAACAGCTGAGTTCCGGGGCTGGAGTGGCGCCTACAAGCGCGCCTAACGGCGCGCCCCAGTGTCCGTCATGGAAGACTTCGTAATTTTCGCCGGAGACAGAACATGGAGAACCGGCTGAGCGCAAGCCTCACTCCGCTCCAGGGGTCCCGCCGAGCGCGAGCCTGACTCCGCTTCTGGAGCCCTGCCGAGCGCGAGCCTGACTCCGCTTCTGGAGCCCCGCCGAGCGCGAGCCTGACGCCGCTCCTGGAGCCCCGCCGAGAGCGACCCTGACTCCGTTTCTGGAGCCCCGCCGAGCGCGAGCCTGACTCCGCTTCTGGAGCCCCGCCGAGAGCGAGCCTGACTCCGCCTCTGGAGCCCCGCCGAGCGCGAGCCTGACGCTGCTCCTGGAGCCCTGCCGAGTGTCATCCTGACGCCGCTCCTGGAGCCCTGCCGAGTGTGATCCTGACGCCGCTCCTGGAGCCCTGCCGAACGCGAGCCTGACGCCGCTCCTGGAGCCTAGCCGAGCGCGAGCCTGACGCCGACTCTGGAGCCCAGTCAAGCGCGAGCCTGACGCCGCTCCTGGAGCCCTGCCGAGTGCGAGCCTGACGCCGCCTCTGGAGCCCTGCCGAACGCGAGCCCGACTCCGGATCGCGCCAACGGAACGCCGGATATGCGCGGGCGCCCGATTATGACCCCGACAGGGCGAGAAGCAACAAAGCCCTGTTATGAGAGGTTTAAAGAGCATGATAAATGCATGCTCATGCGGGCGCTGTTGGCAACTGGCATTCATCTGCAAGTGCAGAGGGAGGCACCGCGATCGCCTTGACGATCGGCCGAAGATCGGCGCCGGTCGGGTGGTGAGGCGGTGGCACTGGTGGGAGGGGCACAGCTCGGTCCGTGTGGTGACCATCGCCGGCGGCGCCGGTTGGGCGGTGGGGCGGCGGCGCCGGTGGGAGGGGCACGGCTCGGTCCGTGCGGTGACCGCCGCGGGGGCGCCAACCGACCTAATGGACATCGATTGACCCTGTGAATGCAGACAAACTGGGCCTGCTTTATTCGGTGCCAGCGGGCGCCGACCACGGCAGGGACCGACGCCCTGCTCTGAGCGGTCGGTGCCGCGTTATGTAACTCACCTGCGGTCGCGGCGGAGGTGCTTAGCTGAACTTAGTCTTCCCCAGTGTGGGCGGTTGTACCGTCTTTCGTGACGTGCGGAAGGTTTTGATGAGCGCGACTCCCTCTGCCGATATCATGCACTGCGCTGGAGAAAAAACGAGACAGTAACGTCGTGCATGACCTGCGAGCTTTGACCTAGGTTATTTAAAGGTACGTATGCCTGACGGTTGACAAGCCGGAGAATGCCAGTAGAGTGTTACATCTTTAACGACGCTGCGTACTACACGGCTTTCCGGATGTCTGCGAAGCCGAGCTAGTTCAGGCGAAAACATGTTAACTCTTGATTTCAGCAAGTAGGTAGGACGGAAAGAACATTGGAGGTTAGCTCATGATCTACCATGACTGCAACTTTGGTTGACCTTGCCTTTCCAATTTGTATGCAGTATAAGATGACATTACTGCATTGTTTTAAGTTTCGCTTACAATGGCTTAGAGCATTTTCAAGATCAGACCCGCAGTGACCTTTGATGACGCTTGCGTCAGGATTGGTGCGTGGTGATCATTTTTATTTCGTGACATGAAGGTCTTGTGGGCTAATTTGACAATCAACTTCGGAAGTGGACCTGATGTGACATCAAATTTAAAGGAATTGGAAATCATCACAGGCATCACTGCATCTCATGGTTTGTAATACATACCTACAGAAACACCTTCAGAACCGCCAGACAACATATGCATGATGTATGTCCTTCTCCAAGAACACATCCCAAAGGATCGATTTTCCGTATTTTGCCTTGGGAACCTTAGGTTCAACTCGCAGTGAGCTGACATATCAAAGCACTTACATTTCAAGCAGGGGCGCAGTCAGGATTGTTTTAGTGAGGGGGGAGGGAGCAATGGCGTGGTGGTGAGAGCGCATCAAGTTATTTTTAACTCTCTGTCAAGAGCCCTGTGTGGTGAGCGCGAAACAAATTCCGGTCCTGGAAAATGTGTGGGGGAGGGGATTCGACGACATATAGTAGCCTATCATTATGAATCAGGGCCTGATTTGGCCCAAATGGCGGCTGGGTGCACCACTGGTGCCAGTGCCGCCAGCAGGATTCCGCCCAGGAGGGCACCAAATTGGCTCCTGGTGCCATATCAGCCAGGGGGCCATCTTCACTACTAAAGGGACCCTGTTTTTTATTCAGAATAACTTGTTAAGCTTGGAACTCTATTTTGATTCCTCGGTGGCCCGTTTATGGATCTGCTTTCATAGCCTTGCGAGCCAAAAAAGGACTGGGCCGTCGACACCGGGGGCCCCGTCACCTCCAGAGGTTGGCCATGGTCTCAAAAAGTTCCTCCTGAATACACTACTGCCTGATACAAGTGTTAGCAGGCAGAGCGGCACCGTACCACCCCAGTAAAGTACAAAGATGGCTGGATCCAATGCGATATCACATCCACACTTTACACTAACTTTAAGTCTATGGATATAACTTCATATGGTAGGATTTGGCAGCTCAGGCATTTGAGCCATAGCCCCGGGGCAAATATCCAAAGTTTACGAAACTGGGCGTGTTGGGCGGTTGTCGTGTTGGGGGTGCTTTGATCGTAGTTACTCATTGTATTGGTGCGCTGTTACCCCGCATTTTGGGTGAGATGATAGCTTATAGCTGTGATGCATGCATTGTTACGCCACGTTATGTCTGCCAGTCTGCATGTCAAGTGGATAAGTGTGGTTATGTTTGGTGTCAACTGCGCTACGTTTGTGTGTGCATCATGTTTGGAAAACAGATGCCTTATGCGACGGGTGCCTCATGACACTGATGCCTTATGGAACAAGTGCCTTGTTTGTGATGCTTTGGGTAATCCTTCTTACCCACAAAACATGATTTACCAACATTTACTTGGGATATGGGCATTTTCTGTGATCTTCAGTACCTCAAGTTTGGTTTTGGGCTCTTGTATGGTGACAAAAATGGTTAAATTGTGGCTTGAAATGAGGATGAAATATCCCAACTGAATTTGCATTAAGACATTCCTTAGCGGTAGGTGACAGTAAATACTATGCTATCTGATCCCGGTGATTGTTCAAGGCATTTAAATATTGTCAGTTCTAATTCTGAAAGCTCAAGCTTCTTATGTAAGTGGTTGCTTCCAAGTGCATACTTGCCCATACTGTACTTTTTGAAGCTATGGAGCAACCAGAAAGTTCTTTTACCTTGGCAGTTTTAATTTTTAAGGAGATGTGAGGCTGTAGGGCAAGGTTTTTTAATTAGAGTTATTTTAGCCTTAATTCTGATAGAAACCAAGGCTTAAAATGTTTTGCACCTTTTGCATTACTTCCCAGAGCATGCATAACTTTATGATTGAAATGTTATGCAAGCCACTATAATGCAAGTAGAAACATCTGGCACATTGTAGGTAGTGCAGCTATCTACCAGCCAAGGTAGATATCTAAATAGTATCTTTTGCCCTTAATGGAAGCATGCTGGGGCAAGGTGATACCCACCAAGTCTTCTACTGGCCTAGATGTAATGAGTTGGGACCAGGGATGGAATTTCCTATTCAGTTAGATGTGACTAGCCCCTCCCCTGACTTTGAGAAGAAATTTGCACAACCATGGGAAAAACACATTGTTTTTTGTCTTTGATATGGGGTTAACTAATTTCTCTGCTCAGCCCCCTCCCCAAACCTATGAACAAAACTACAAAACAGACAAAACCTCTACAATGTCAGAATACTACTCCTGCATGATTGTGGCCCCTGGCTGGATGAATGCCACTGTTAGTCAATAAATGCAGTGGCAGTAGAGGTTATTTTCTCCTCATAGTGCAAACCTGCCCTCTATGGTTGGCATCTGCTACATCTGTATATTAACAATGGATTCTGATATGATGCCATTCATTGTGGGTGACAGCCAAATCTGCATGTAGACTTTATCTATGCTATCAACCAATCCCACCATTACTGCCTAGCACAGTTCCCCCATGGCTTTTGTGCTTCTGATAAACCTTGGAAACTAATAATGCTATTGAAATGGCACACAGAGAGGAAACATCAAAATCATAAAATGTTTCAAAACATGTCAGCAGCATCAAAACACTTTGGCAAATAAGCAGAAGGGAGGTTTCATCTTGCTTCTTTTAATTATCAGGTACCTCAACATTGCATTAAATGTGGTATGTCTACACCAATGCCAGTAAGGTCTTGCAAAACACAGTTGTCAAATTTAGTTATATCAAGCCGTCCACACCCATGACCTGTACCTGTTTGAATTTTGTGTGCTAGCTATGCTATTGCAGGAGTGCAGCATCATTGCATGTATCTGCATTCAGAATAGATGTGTGAATTTATGTGAATGTATCTGCACTAAGGGGAGTGAGTTATGCTGGCCATTTCAAGGTGCATTGTGAAATGCTAAGTTGTCTTATAGCCACTATGATGGAAAGTGGTGGAAAACAGCACGATATCTACCATGCCTGCCGCAAACCACCAACCAAAATACCTCCCTAGTAGAGATAAATTGTTCTTGATTCCCCAGCCAGTGTCACTTTATAACTAGCAAAGTATACATTGCTTTTCAACTCAGTAGATACAGTGTGGACTGCACTTGTACCATTTGCATTAATTTAGAGTAGGTTCCAGGAGCCTCACAGCCACCATGCAGAGGTTTATCAATCTGTAGAGGGTCTTCTCCCTGCCACCAGTGCTGGCTGCACCGTTTCAGCCGCCCGAGCCGGAGTAGCGAGTCCGCCCGCTGCCTCTGCTCTGACGCTGACTCTGCACCGTTCCAGCTGCCCGAGCCCGAGGAGGGAGTCGACCCGCTGCCTATCTGCTCTTCCGCTTTGCCGATCGCCTTGGAGATCTCGCGACGTCTTCGGCCGCACCACAAGGATGCGCGCGTGCTGATCAACATACTCACCGCCTCCAAATTCCTGGTGAGGGACGGGACCGCAGGGGGACGGGCTGTTGGACGGCTATTCGCTGATTTCGAACTGGGTTTGGTTGCGCTTTGCATCGCGTCGAGGTTGCAGACGTGCGCAGCTGCTGGAGAGCAGCTATAAATGGTTTTTCGAAGGTTCGTTGCGTTCGAATCGAAATCTGACACGCCAATTTCACGGAACCAGTTTCACTGGGACCATTTGAGGCTCGCCGACCTTTGAGCTGCCGGTGGCCGTTTCCAATGTCCTAATACCGCGTGTGGGCAGCTACTCTGCCATCCACTGGAATCACCAGCTCTGTCTGGAATCCGACCCGCTCCGAAACGGCGCCGGCTCGCTGAGTCCGCCGCCGCGGCCGGGCCATAACTCGGACAGGATAACCGCGCCGGCCGCTCGCGCGCCGCCACCAATCCGCGCTGTCGCGAGCGGCGGTGATACCAATCACTGGCGCGCCATTGGCGGCGCCTGAGCGGCCGTTCGGCACGCGGCGAGCCCGCTGTCGCCCTCGCCGAACCCCTGGCCGGCCGCGCGCTGATCGGCCGACGTCGCTTAATTCGCCGCACGTTCGCGTGTCACCTCGCTGGGAGGCTTTACGGGCCGCCGTTTCAGTGGCACGATCGGAGGTTGTGTGCCGGTCGGCTTGACGGTGGCTGCGGCAGCGGTGGGTGTCGCAGTGTTGGGTGCGGGTCGGGAGGGGTCGCCGGGCAGGAGCTGCGCGCCGTCGGCCGCCTCGGTCACTGGCCGGTGCTGGGACCGGGTGTGTGTCCAGGCACGTGCCGAGCTCATTTATCACGTACCTCCGGACGGAAACTCCGCGTGCACCGCCACCGCGCCGCGTTGTTTGCGAACAAAGCCGCATTGTGGCCGACTGCCCGTGTGCCGAGCTGGGCCACAGCCGACCGCCGAGGAACGGTGAGCTGTAGCCGCCGGTCGGTGGCGTGTCACGTGATGCGCGCGTACCTGGCGCGTCTCGCACTGCTCGGTCCTCGTGCTGCTCTGATTGCTGCGTCGGACGATGTCAAATGTGACTTCGTCTGATGTGTATGTGAAGCGTGTAAGGACTTTCAGGGCGCGAAGTCTTGTTCGGTTCTCTGTGATGATTCGTTATTTCGATGTGCGTGTGGAGGGGCGGAAGGGAACACTGGTTCTATTTTTTGATTCAGCACGTGCCTAACGCAGACCAGGGATCTCCCGGTTAGTGGGCGGGGGGAGGGGTGGGGGGGGGGGGGGAGGGGGGCAGGACACCGAGGTATTTAATGGTGCTGCTTTCCGTAATCACCCGTAGGGAAATGCTAGATTTCCTTACGTTGGAGTGGCTGGGGAGTGCATGCCCTACCGTCTCATTCCTGCTGAGGTGGAGCTTGCGGGCGACGCATGCGGTGCTGCTGCGGATGGAGTTTGTGCGACCTCGGCGACGTCACCGCCTCTCGATCTCTGGCTGTAGAGCGGCGCCCCCAGCGGCGCGAGGCTGGCTGACGGCTCAGTGGCGCTGCTCCCGCTGGCAGGGTCTGCTCGACGCGCACGACCGGATCGCCAAGGAGACGGTGCCGCCGACAGAGCGCAGCGCGCCGCCGCCGCCCATGCCGCCCACGCGGCCCACAGAGAACATGGAGGCCATCCGCATGGTGGGACTGACCAAGAACCCGAACGAGCCGCTGGTGAGTCGCGGTGGCGGCCTGTGGCCGACCGGGCGGCGCGCGCCAGACCTGGCGCCGTCGCCGCCGCGTGGCGCCCGGTGATGACTCGTGTGTACGCGGCCGGCGGCCGGCGGTGGGCTGGGGAGGCACGACCGCTATCCTATCCGCCTATCGTGCCGGTGGCCCGCTGCGGAGCGGGCGGTATGTCAGCGGGGGGAGGGGTCTGGTCGCCGGAGTGGCGGCTCGACGCTGCTGTAGACGCACCGAGGCCTGGCTGTCGGCGGGCCGCTGGCATGAAACCACGGGCGGCGCGTCATCTCGTGCGGTATTGCCGCCGTCGTCTGCCAACGTGCATCTGTTCCGTGCCCGGTTTTGTGGGGCGCTTCGTCGCCGAATTTACCGTGATGCACGCTCAAACTACCCTCTCCGCTCTTGGATAACCTACCAGCTCTCCGCGTTTTACTGTGTCGATCTTGCTGATGGGACATGATGCCGGTGTTTGTTTCGATTTATGCTGTGTTTAGAGGCACCATTCAGCCAAAATGGTGTCCCGGCTCTGCTCTGGAAAGCTTGCCGGGCTTTCTCTGGTGACTGCTGTTGCTAGCCGCGGGGCTCAGCTAACAACGTCGGGGATCGGGTAGCTTCCTCAGAAGTTTTGGTATTACGTCACAGCGGGCATTCAGCGAGCTAAAATTCTTCACATCCATGTGGTGACGCCACGTCTTTTTCATGGACACTTCATGGCTGAATGTTCTCTTCATGGACGTGGCGACACAACATGTGTGGTGGATTGACTTCGAGCTAGTGAAAGGCTGCATATCCGTATTCACTTGGGAGTGTTTTGCCGTTTGTCTTGAGCTCCTCGTCTCCAGTCGACCCCGTTTGCGTTATTCCTGCGATGATTCTGAGTGTTTCTCCGTGTAAACCAGTGACAGTCTCCCTCGTATGACCGACCATGACGTCAATCAGGCTGGCGGGGACCGACTGGAAGGAGCGTGGTATGTTGGCCCAATACACGTCCATGGCCCCAGCCTCTCTCCGACTGTTTGCGGCCAATTGGCTGTTCCCCGAGTAAACATTCCTTTGGGGTTATCCGCACACAAAGGGGGCCACTTCGCCAAACGCCCAAGAAGAGAGTCATTTTTCCAGCGTCTCCGCAAACGATGATGTCAACAGGGCGCGACCTTTAGCCGGGGTGATTGTCGCGACTGAGAGGACGGGGACGCCTTCCCCCCCCCCCCCCCCCCCCCCCCCCAGCCGCCCGCGGCGGGCTGGCATTCCCGCCGGTTTCCACTCGGGTGCCGGTTCCGACTGGCAGCAGACAAATGGAGGAAAGTCGGCTCGTTCCCCGGATAAGCGGAGCGGAACGGCCGCGGAAAGCGCGCCGGTTTCCGTGCGGGACGAGACCCAGGTCGCTTTCAGATAATATCTGGTTCGCGGTCGCGGCTCTGTCCTGGGTCTGCTCTCTGGACGCGCCAGACAGGGCCGCCGCCCTGGTGGTGGTGTCGCCACCCCGTGCTGTTTCTGCGGGCACTGCGCTCCGCTCGGGCCGCGGCGTGAAGCGGTCCGGTGTGGGAGCCTCTCCCGGCCGCGCTGTGGAGCTGGCTATGCTGATGACGTCCCGAGATCGCTCGGTCTCCGCCACCATGGGTGACGCGTGCTCTTGTAGTGTCGTGTATCACCACCAGGGACCCTTTGTCTCAGACGAGCATCGGCGGCCCGTGCTGCGTGGGTGCGGACTTCCTTTCGCATGTTGTTGCTGGGTGTCGTTCTGATGTAGTCGTGTGCATTTGGTGTCTTTGGTATGCCGTGCCACGCGGGTACAGAGCGCTTGTTGGTACGCTGATTATGGCAGGCTATCCTGGCTTTATTGTCTGTTTCGCCGACGCCGGAAACTTGGCCGGGCGAGTGCCGTGACTCTGCCATTTCGTTATTAAGTGGCATCCAGTCCTAACGTATCTGGCGAACTGCGGATAAGCTAATTATATCGGTCCCATGCGAGGTTTCAGGAAATTTCCCTTCATAAATCATCGGAAAGCGGAAAAGCCCCAATCTCGTGTCTAAGAAAAGTTTCGGCGACGGCGGTCGGCTGACATTTCTCGCTCCAGTTTCCTGCGGTCTCTCTTCCCGAATTCTGCCTGATATCGACGGACGCCTGGGAGCCGACGCCCGTTGACGTCACTGGCGCCTCGTGACCATCGTGCTGTGACGTCACACCTCATGGGAGTTGACCAGTGACGTCATGCATCCAGCGCCAAACAGTGGCCAATGGGATACTTGTATGGGATACTTGGGCCTGTGACCAATGGGATACTTGGGCCTGTGGCGTAGCGGCCGACGCGGAACGCCGTGAGCATGTGGACTGCTATGAACATGTGACGCCACATATCTGACGACCAGGTGCCGCGTGTGACGTCACTGACGCGTCCCGCGACCGCCTGCAGGGTCTGACCGTCAAGCAGGAGGGCGACGAGCTGGTGGTGTCCCGCATCCTGGCCGGCGGCTTCATCGACAAGCAGGGTCTGCTCCATGTCGGTGACGTCATCACAGAGGTCAACGGCCGAAAGGTCGGTGATCCCGTCTTCGCACTCGTCAACGACCGATGACGCGCTTGTTAAGATGCAGCCATGCCCCCAGTCTCGAGCCACGTGGGGCGTGCGTTGAACGATTGAGCCTTATTTCGCCCGCTTCTAGTGCTCGTTGCCGCACTCAATCCAGTACACGGAACCGCGCCCCCGCCCTGGTCCTGTTTCGATGCGTGCGTCCCCTCGGGGTGACGTTACGTGGCGCTTGGTCCCGTCCCCGACGCGGACGTGTCCCCCCTCCCCCCATAAAATCCAGCGTGGCGCAATGATAGGGGTTGTACGGCATAAGCCCGTGCGTCGTGTTCGTCTGCTGTCGGCCGCCGCGTGTGTATCTGATGCCGCGTGTTGTCATCTCCAGTGACTGACCGCCCGGTCGTGGCGGCACTCCGCCAAGCGCGGTCATATTTCGCCGCTCCCTGTCGGGCGGTTTTCTGACCTCTGTCAGTCCCGCGCCTCCCCCCCCCCCCCCCGTCGTCACGTGTTCGTCCCGTGTAGTGACGCGGCCGACCGGCCGCGGTCGAGGGCTTGGCGCTGAGCCGGCGGTCCGTGCCGGCAGGCGTACACGCCGGAGGAGCTGCAGCAGGCGATCGGCGCCTCCAACAGCGTCACGCTCAAGGTTGTGCCGGGCGCGCCGCTCAAGCCCAGCGTGCCGCAGGTGAGCGGTGCCGCGACGCGAGCCCGACGCCGACGGGCACGTGGTCGGACAGGCGCCGCTGGTGGGGATCCCCGAGCCCGGTGCCGACGGGCCCGCGGCCGGACAGGTGCCCGCCGGCGGGCCTCCCCGAGCTGGGCGGGGAGCGCTGCAGCGTCCGGCCGAGCCTGCTAGCTCCGCATGCCGTGCTCCGGTGCTCCGGCGGCTCCGGTGCTCAGCTCCGGTGTTCCCGCAGCGCGGTGTTGCTCGAGGCGGCCGTTTGATCCTGCAGTCGCACCGCGCAGGAGAGGCGCACATGAACCGCAGCAGACAGCGGACGCGGGGTACGACAGGCCGGCAGCCTGGCGAGGATGACGGAGCTCCGCTGACGGCGCGGGCGCGTGTGTTTCAGTGTTACGTGCGCGCCATGTTTGCGTACAACCCGATGGAGGACAAGCTGTTGCCCTGCCCGGAGGTTGGACTCAGCTTCGAGTACGGCGACATCCTCAAGGTAATGTCGCACAGGAACCTGAGAGCAGGCAGCGTGGCGTCCGACTGCGTCGAGAGCTGGGTTCGATCCCAGCCGCAGATGAATTTCACTGGCATTGTCGTCCTGCAGGAATGTAAAGACCGTGCAATTATGTCAAGCAAGGCCATGTTGCACGTCCCTCGAGCAAGGCGTCCGGCGCGGAACACGGTGGATGCGACGCAATTACCACGGATGCTGTACTTTTGCAGACCAACCGCACTCCTTACTGGCTGTATATCACGTAGGCCTTTGGAAAGCCAAGCCCACGTGACTTGTAATAACTGCACCCAGCTGATTTGGTGTTGATTTGTTTTTATATGACCGTGTGCCAGGGTGGGAATTTAGTTGTTTTTTTTTGCTGGTGGCGGAGTACAATTTTTTGTGGTCGGAGTACAAACTTGCCTGCAAGCAAAGGTCTGTCTAATGTGGAATGAGTGTCTGCACAACGGGCCTTGCTTGGAGTACATCACATACTGCCTTTAATGGGTCAACATTTTCCCAACGTTTTTCTGGCAAAAATTAGTGTCAGCATGCAATTTTGCATTTCATTGGAACAGAGCACTTCTTGTGAGTGAGGGTGCCACACTGATCCCATCCATATCCCTGTAGTGCTACTAGCTCATCTATACATGCAAAGATCGAGTAGTGGTACATGTTAATAAGAAATATACAGTTAGAGAGGTTAACAACAAAACTTTATACATATACATCCATAGGTGGATCATACAAAGCTCAGTTACTTATCATTACCTATCTACATGCAAACTTACACAATATCAAAATGATAAATCAGGTGCATCCTCTGCTTACTGACAAACTGAATTGCAGACAACCACTGTGCATCACACCCCAGTTTTTTAATGAGTCTTAGGCAGCTGCAACTGACTATGAAAGCCTTATGTATGTGACATCACTGACATGTTGTCCTTTTGGCCTTTACATAATTGATATAAACATACCAAAAGTGTTCCTCTTCCTGTCCTTCTCTTTCTGCTCGTCTGCTCTTTCAGTTCTTCAGCTTCTCTTTCTGTCACTCTTCTCCTTCCACTCCTCTTCCACTTCTGCTCCTCCTCTCTTCCTGCACCTCCTGTTATCCCTCTCCTCTTCTCCAAGTTCCCTATGATCCTATGTAGGGACAATTTTAATAGTGTCACTGCAATACCTTGTGCCTGACAGCAAGGAACATGGCAGCATTGCCATCTGTCAGGTTATGGCAATTATAACCACAGGCAGAAAAGAGGCCAGCCTCATATTTGATCCCACATGGGAAACCCAAGCCTAGCATTTATGTTGTATATAGATACCTTAGTACCTACGTACCTACCCACCATGCTGTAGGTAGAGCAGGTTATACCAAGGTGATTCTGTACCAGCCTGCAGCGGTAAACATTTATAGATCAGTCCCCGGTATTTATTTACATTTTTTGGGATGACTTAATAGCGGCCCAAAGCTAAATCCCAAGTAACTTCAGAAGTGTGGATGCATGCTGTGTGAAAATTGACGACAACCAATTCCACTTTGCCTCACTGAATACCTCAAACTCGCAACTACGACGCACATAATCCCAAGCAGCTTCACTCACCCTCCGCCCTCCTCGCTCCCACCACATCAAGACAAACAACCAAACCATGCACAGGAGTTCTGGCGCATTCACAGACATTGTGATGGCATTCTAGCGCTCGTCAATGGGGCAACCAAGTACAAGTACCACGGGTCGGTCCTGAAATGACAGGCTGTGATGAATAGTCTAAGAAAAGCCATTTATGCAGTTGCACCAACACAAATTGTTAAGTTTGTGGTAGAAAAATCATAGAGCTTTACAGTCATGCATTTAAAGTTGCTATTTTCCACCTACAAATATATCTTATCTTCTGGTGGCGCAAGACAACGCCGAGATAATGCAGTACCTGTACTATAAATCTATAGATATTTCTCATTCTAAGGCATATCATGACATTTCAACACCCTCTGAGGAAGGCCCGTATCTGGGCGATACCAAAACACGTAAATTTGTCGATTAAATTTGGCCAACTTTGCTAAAAACTTGCTGTTCTCCGGCTTGTATTCCGGCTTGTTTTCCCCGGGTCTCCCCATAGGCCCCATTGTGAAAAGGGCAACCAAGTACTGCGACTTTTTCCCACTGGGTTATGGACCATCTCTATCTTACAAGTATAGGTACTGGTTGAGCCTGGAGACATGATACCGTTGTTCAATAAGTAAGATATCCTCGAATCTTCAAAGACCGGCATTTACCGATTCCTGAAAAAGTGGTTGACGTACTATCATTTATACAATAGTAATAAGTTTTGGAATGCTGCATGCCACAAACTCCCATTTTGGGAACGTAATTCCCGATGACATTTAAGAACCCAAAAGAAGCCGTTACCACCAAAAGTGCCGCCCACAAAGTGATATTTGGGTGCCATGTAATGTCATGATTCTATCTCAAAAGTGCCGATATGTGGTGTGTTTGAATGCTATGATTTTGAGTTTAATTGCAAGTTGGATGGTGATTGGTGGCTCGTATGGCAGGAGCAGGAATGAAACAGGCGCTTTGAAAAGGATGTGCAATGCTGCAATCTTTGGAATTTTCCCACCAAACTGTTTGCAAGATGCACGTCCTTTGGTAAAATCGCTAACATGTTATCTTAATATGAGGTAAGTTAAGAGCATAGTTGGCATGCTGGACTTCTTGCTCGGCGAGTCTTTGAATGACCTAGTTGAAAAAGATGTGCCATCGATGATTTTGGTGCTGCCAGTGATTTTCTGGTCGAACGAATATTGTTGTAGGTGTCTGTTGCGACGCGGACCTTCACTGCTCGAAAATGCACTCGTCAGTTGCAGGAGGCTGGGGTGCCGTTGGTTTCGGGTACGGGAGGCGATGGGTTCGTCGCGTGGTGGGAGCCAGAGCCGTGATATGTTTGTCCGTTTCTTGAAAGGTATCGGTAGGTGTGTGCGTCGTGGAGAATGCGGTCTTACTTACTCAGGTGCGCCATATATTTTCCCCACAGGTAATGACATGCGAGGTATGTGGCGGCGGTAGGTACTTAAAACAAGCACATTTCATATTTCAGTTTATTTCGTTCCCACAGAAGTAATTCACATGAGTTGTCATCACCATTCAGGAGTTGCATAGGCTTGTACAAGTGCATCTAACCCATGTAATACAATGATGAAGGACATTGACATATATGCCCTGGATTGGCCAGCTCCTGCAGGATTGCAGATGCTTGTTTCCATTTCTTGGTGCTCCATATGTTTGGTCCCTGGAAATAGAATAAAAGTTATAACTCACTTTATGAAAGCCAAGTTCATGCACCCTCCTGGCTATCAAGAAAGCAGAACTGTCTGCCTTGGTACTTATACTCAGGCTCATACACTTGCAATGGTGTCTGCTTTGTGGGGCGACTGCAGCGTTTGTCTGGAGTACAAAAATTGTCATTCTTACCAGTCAAGAGCCTGGAGTACAAAACTTCCTGGTGCCACATCCACCAGAAAACGGAGGTTTTTCCCACACTGCCGTGTGCTCAGGCGTTTTTGTTCGTTATAGTGAGCAATTGACCGCTACGTTTCCTTGAAAAACGCATGATTTTGGTGAATTGTTCCAATGCCCTTCCAATGGATCATTCGGTTAGAGTGCCCGCCTACAGTTTCACCTACCCATGGCTGAGTGGGTCCGAGTCGCTTTAAGCGCTCGCGATTCTCTGCTGACTGGGATGGCCTGCGGCTGGTGCCAGCGGTCGCGCTAAAGTTCTTTGACGTCCGAGGATAGAACGGATCGTGCCGTGCATTTCGGCACGTGGAACTATCGCTTAAACATTTCGCCTTTGACCCGCAATTTCACGACCGGGCGGTAAGCGCTGCTTAGCGTGTGCTCTGATCCCAGACGTCCGGCCGATCAAAAGTGGCGGCTTATAAATCTCGCCTCTCAGTTTCCACTGTATTTGACATCTCCATCACGCATGGGTCAGTCTACAAACCTCTGCGACGCTACAACACGCCTGCAGGCGTTATGAGGGATGTCAAGTATTAGGGATAACGACCTAGCGAGGGCAACGCCAAGTGGACAGTTCACCTAGTGTTAAGTGCAGCAATAGTTATCTGCGTGCCATTCTTGGCCGTGTCGTCATTTCGCGTCTCGTATTTTATGGGTGGCGTGCGATCATGGGGGCAGACTGACCGAAATTGTGTTAGCCAGCTGCGCCAGTCCGGCCGGCCGGCTGTCATTGCCGTGATGGTGCTAACCGCGTCCGTTCTATAAGACGGCCACATTTACGCGGTGCGTGTGCCACATGTCGGCATCCTTTGGGATGTGTCGCGTGGTGCGATCATACAAAAATGGACATGAAACTGAATGCGACGATGTGGAGACGGCACAATTCTGGCTAGTTGCCGTTCTGTCCGCCGGAGGCGCTGCAGTCGGCGCGCTGGGCGACAGTGGCCGGTGAATCACGCCGTGCCGTGGCGCTGCTGTTTCTGAATCGCCCTGTTGCCGTGGTGCGGAGCGTCCTGACCAAGAGCTGGGCGTCGTGTCCGGTCGGTGACGGCGGCAGTCGGCATGAAGCACCGCTGATGCTGCGCGGCCGCCCAGCGGCCCGTCATTGGTCCCGGTCCGCCGAAGCCGCCGAATAGACTCCGTTCTCGGCGCACACGGAGGATGAGCCTGCCTCATTGCTTAAGTGGACGAGCAGCCTGCGCGTGTTAGGCCGCGTGTCTCGCTGGGTGATGCAGTCCGGTCCTGTACAGTGCAGGCTGTGATGAGCGGCCTCTTCGATCCACCTGGCGGGCGGGCCCATCGCTGACGGCGACGACACCGGCTCTGCCGGGCGATAGCATCGGGGGCGGGCTGCAGATCGATCGGGGACCGGCCGGCCGCGCGAGACCCGCCGGCGGCCTAGACCCGGACCGCACCGCGGTGGTCTCAGTCACGGGCCAGACCGCGGCGGTCCAGACCCGGACCGCACCGCGGTGGTCCAGACCC